TCTGTCTCATGCCTGCTTCAGCTGAGAGGTCATTAATTCATCTGGCCCCACAAAGATATCTGGCTCTAGCCTGCTCCCTTGGCAGTCACTCCCTTGTACCTGCTCCTGTGGAGGTCTGCTGTGGGACAATGTTTTTGTAACCTGTAAACATTTGTCACTTGTACTAGTTTAATAAAATGCTGATTGGCTAATAGCCAGGCAGGAAATAAAGGCAGGGTGACAAGAACAGGAGAATTCTGGGAAGAGGAAAGGCTCAATGTCCAGTCATTACCTAGACACAGAGTAAGCAAGATGAGAATGCCTCACTGATATAAGTACCAAGGCATGTGGATAACACAGACAAGAATTATGGGCTAATGTAAGATATAAGAAGCCTGAGCTAATAGGCAACCAGTTTATAATTAATGTAGGCCTCTGTGTGTTTCTTTGGGACTCCACATCTCTCGGACCAGGTGGGACAGAAACCTTTGTCAACAGAGGTAGCTGTCTCAGGCCTGCTCCCACAGAGGTCTCTGGCTCAGGCCTGTTCCCTCAGTGGTAGCTCCCTTGTACCTGCTCCTGTGATCATTGCCTCAGGCCTGCTCCAGTGGAGGTCACAGGCTCAAGCCTGCTCCTGTGGAGGTCACTGCCTCAGGCCTGTTCAGGCTGAGGTAGCTGACTTAAGCCTGCTGAGGTCATTGGCTCAGGCCTGTTCCCACAGATGTTCCTGGCTCAGGCCTGCTCCTTTGGAGATCCGTGACCCATACCCAGTTCTACAGAGGTCTCTGGCTCAGGTCTGCTCTCTCAGCAGTGGCTCCCATTTACTATGTTCATTATTTTAAGTGTTCAGTTTAGGGATATATAGCATTGTTCTACAGCAACCTCCTGCTTCCATAATGTTTTTTCTTCTCCCTAAACTGAACATCTGTGCCCATCAAATAGAAATAATTCTCCATTCTCCTTTCCATGCACCCTCAAGCAATTGCCCTTGTACCCTTTGTCTCTGTGACTTTGACTCCTCTTACTATGTCATACAAATAAACCAGTCAGCCTTAAAAGGAGTTTAGATTACAATCATGAGACCTGGCAGACAAGCACAGGTGTTACATTCTCACAACCAGAGGGTGAGCAAAGAAAGACACTCTGCTTACTTATGAAAAGTGATGCTTGTCCACTTTCTGCCAAAGCTGTTTCCACTTTCCTCTTGCGTAAGACAGATAGACCCTCAGACAGATTTGAATTCTCAAAGGCCCTTTTGAGCAGTCAGAGTTCCTGGGAGACCATGGCTGAGACAGATTTACCATTCTGACTAGTCAGCACTGTCATGAGTGCTCATATTTCCTCCTCTGTGGTAGATGCTGCACTCAAAGAGAGATCTGGCTTTCTGCAGCAGCCTGACATTCAGGTGTGAGTGAGCTGAGTCACAGCTTCTATATATCTGGGAGCTCTGCCACCTTGTCTTTGGCTTAGAATAGCAATCATTGTGATTGTGAGATCAAAGTTTGACCCAGGAAAATTCCTTTCATGAACAACCATGAAAAACAACTTAATACTTGGTTGGTATGAAACTTAATGTTAGTGTCCTGCACAAAAACTTACACTAAGATGAGAAGCAAGAAAATGCCATTTAGAAGTCAGATCTTAGGGCTAGAGAGATGGCTCAGTGGTTAACAGCATTGCCTGCTCTTCCAAAGGTCCTGAGTTCGGTTCCTGGCAACCACATGGTGGCTCACAACCATCTGTAGTGAGGTCTGGTGCCCTCTTCTGGCCTGCAAACATACACACAGACAGAATATTGTATACATGATAAATAGATAAAATATTTTTTTAAACAAGAAGGCATATCTTAGAAGGTGATTAGATGGTGAGCTACTGTCCACATGAATGAAATCCTCACAGTTACAAATGAGGAAACTTCTCTTTTTACCATGTAAAGGTGGAATATGAACACAACTTTATTTTTTCTTTATTTTATTTTATCTTTGAAGTAGGATCTCATATAGCAAAGGCTGGCTTTGTACTTGATATATAGCCAAGGATAACCCTCGACTTCTGAACCTACTACATCTACTATCTGAGGACTGGGACTACAGGAATGCACCACAACATCTATTTTTAAAATGTGTTAGAGATCTAACCAAGGCCTTCCTGCCATACATGAAGGGCAAGAGCTCTTTCTTGGGAGTTTGATAAGAGCCTAGTCACCTTGGTACTTTCCTTGTAGACTGCCAATAAAAAGGCAGAAACAACAACATCAACAAAGTTTTGTGGCTCATAAGACAGGGAAAAAGAAGATAGTCAGCTGGTGAGATTGTAGGAATTTATTAAAGCACCTTGGGATTTGAAGTTGAAAGTTTCCATCCCCATATTCTGTCTGTTCTCATTAGAGATATTCTTTTAGGAAGTTCACAAGAGACTGGGGGTTTCTGCCCAGCCAACCAGGTAAGCCCCAGGCCAGTGAAGACCCTATCTCCAAGATATGAAGGTCCATGGTTCCTGAAGAATGTCATAATCACCTGACATTGTTTTCTATTCTTCATTCATTTATACACTCATACATCTGCATACCTGTGAACACACACACACACACACACACACACACATACACACACACATAGAGCAGGGGGGTTTCATTCTTCATTCTACTATCTTAAAGCAAATGAAGACAAATACGCAAAAGTGGATGCCACGTCACACAGTCTTCCAAAAACTTATATCATTCTTTCAGTAATAATGGTCTCACATCCAAAATATAGCAAAGAAATTCAATATTGAGTGAATAAAATTGTTTTAAAGTCCTTTGTGTGCTGAGATAATGAACTTCAGCTTAAGAAGCCATACATTGTTTACTGGCTTTCAGCTGCTTGCAACGCTTAGAATCTGAAGACACAACTGCCTTGCTAGAAGCCTTTGAGGTAAGTTAACTAATATTGAAAGCTACTGCACATATTTATTTTAAGATTATTTTTTGGTTATTTATAATCATGCCATCTCTTTCAAGCAGGCTATCTAACCAAATTTCTACAAATGATATGCAAATTATATTTATTCATGACTAGGTTAAATTATGACAGTGAGAATCAGAGAGCAGATGCTACTTTTAGCATCACCCACAAACGGCCACTGAGCAGGGGTTCCACATGCATCCAGGAGTCCACTTCTCAGTGGTGTACATAACTTGTTTTCTAAGAATTATAAAATGACAGGGGACAGCAGGGGTGACTTGGTTGGGAAGATCTTCCAACGTAGCTGTAAGAAGCTGACTCCTATCCCAAGCACTCATATAAAGTAGTTTGGCAGCAGTGCCTACCTGATCCCATTCTGGAATGACAGTTACAGAGATAGACAAATGTCTGGGACTCACTGGCTCATCAATTTAGTCCAATTGCTGAATCAGATAAAGTGAAAGAAAGTATGTCAACAATATAATGTCAAGAGAGCTTGAGAGACATAGACTTTCACTTGCCTATATGGTATAGATTCTTTCTCTTCCTCCCTCTCTCTCTCTGTCCATTTCTGACTCTGTCTGTCTCTCTTACACACACACACACACACACACACACAGTAATTTTCAAGTAAAATTTTGGAGGACCTCAGTGAGTATATACTTAGCTCGTTTATCTACAGGAATTATTTAATTCAGAATTCAGGATCTGTGAAAATTCAATTTTGTTTTCTGATTTTTATTAGGAAATCTGGGCATTTCCGTGCCTAATTCTGATTCACAAAATTGGGTGTTGGGATATTAAGGGATTGCATATAAAGGATGGGTTTTTCTGGCTCTTATACCCATGCACCTCTTATAGTCTGTGACTGTGAGTCTTGATCCATGAATCATGTAGTCCTCAGCTGACTTCCAATCTCTTTCTCCCCCAGTTTCTTTATTAAGTGTGTCTAATAAGGAACCTAAGTATATTTTTAAAGGAGTCTCCTGTAGCCCATTTCCATCCAATAATAGCATCCATTTTTCTACCCAATATAAATACAACAAAAACCTTTACACAATCCATTTGTTGTGAAAATCAAATATTCATTCTTTGGATTTCTTTTTCTTTTATACTCTCCTGCCTTCCATCAGCAAACTTCTTTGATTCCTTCCAGTCTCAGATACACAGGGAATCTCCTTTACTTCTGTTTTCCCAATGCTGCATTCTTCATAAATCTTAGCTGCTTCTTTTTTCTCATTCCTTCTTATTTCTCTGGAATGAGCAGTTTAAAATTTTTGTAAATATTCTGTCTGACATACTTAATCCCTTGGTAGACAGATTATATAACTCAGACTTGCCTATAGATCTCTATGTAGCCAAAAATGACCTTGGACTTTTGGTCCTATGGTCTTCACTTCCTGGGGAATATTGAGGTAGTAGCTCTGTACCAAGATGACTGCTTTATTTGGAGCCGAGGATCACACCTAGGTTGTTTGTGCATATTATGAAGTCATTTATCGACTGAGCTACATCCCCAAACTATTAAATCACTTTTAGATTTTATTGATAATTCTGTGTCCACGGGATGACTCCTAAACACAAGTATAAATAAACACTATACAAAAACAAATCTAGTCAACAAGAATGTTTGCCTGCTTTTTCAAACATAAAGCTATTATGTAAGTAACACAGTGACAGTACTCCAGAACAAGGAAGTATAGGCAGTGTAAGACACAAGGTACAAGTTTTGTGAGGGACACTGTGAAGGGGTCAGCAGGGCCATAGGATTTCTGGGAGATGCTGAATTCAGGATAGTTCAAGAATGGTTTTTACTAAATCAGTGAGCTTGTTCATGTGCACTTTTGTGCCTGACGTGCAGTTTGGTATGATTCAGTTAAGCATAAAAAAAAAAAAAACCCAAGACAGTACTTTGAGATGCACTTAAATCAATAAACCTGGACAGTAGGAGATTTGTGTGTTTCATGGGTCATGTTGGCTAGGAGTTAATGATCTGAGAAATCAGAGTGGGCTCTCAGGGATTAATTACTTGACTCCTCATTAACCCAAAAACAACACAGAAAGACATATTTATGTTCCACACAAAATGATACAAAATTTTTTCTTTATTAAATATACAATATTTACAGGTAAGTCTTCTGTACAGCAAAAAACATAGAAAACAAAGAAATCTAAGGCTAACTTTAAATTTCCCCATACAGTGTATTAAGACATGTTACATGGCATACAAAAAAGACTTGGGATGAGGAAACATCACATGGGGCTGGTGATTCTTCTACAGGACCAAAATCTATGATATCCAAAGAAACAAGGAGTCTCCAGCTAATTCCCAAGGATATGGTTTGCTTTGCCTCTGTTGTGCTTTTGTCAAAGAAAGCCTGTATATATCATTCATGTATATTAACAAAGTATAAAAGAACCTCTCCCAATCATATACACTTATGCATATAATTCATATATACATAAGTGTATATGATTGGGAGAGGTTCTTTTATACTTTGTTTATTATTTGCTAAAAGCAATCTCCCTAGCCTCTCGTTTTTTTCAAAGCAGGTGCCAGAAAAACTTTAATTTCTCAATTGAAATGAACATGGTAATTTTCTTAGGGATTTAGGAATTTCGTGAACGCTTGCCTATTTTATAAAATATAATTAGAATGTGTCATGTGTCTTCATTTCCCTATGTTCTATCTTCCTGCCATAGGCTAGTGGGCTGTGGGAAGTGTCTATCTAAGACAACGTAGGCTATTGGGAAGCCTGTCTGTTGACAAGTTCAAGAGAAAGTTATTGATTTTTATCCTCACCAAATATGAAGTTCTTCTCATGATATAAATACAATACTTTAAGCAAGGTATAGTTACTTACTGTTTTTTTGAAAGAGTATTTAAGGCAGGGCAAGGCTACACTGTTTGCTACTGCCATTCAAAGAGAAAAGATTAACCTACTTCATGTATGTCCTTTGCGATATGGCTGACTATAATGTGAAAGTAGAACTAGTCAGAGGTCCATTCATATTATCCTGTAAGGTTGCAATGAAAATGGCTCCCCCTGGGGAGGCCATTCAAGGAGGCTTCAGGGTGACAGAAGGCCTGTTCCGCACACCCAGTGCCTTTTTCATTTCCTCTGAGATTTAGTGCTGGGATCTGAAGCATGGCATAGTATAATGCTAATGAAAATATGAGCAGGCTTTAATCACTGGCTCATATCACCTTTTTCATAACTTGGTATTAGCCTTCTAATTTTAACCTGCTACTCAATGCAAGCTTCACTTGTGTGCTGAATGGCAGAAAGGGAGCAGGGTTCACAGTGTGTCCGGTAGTGGCTTTCCGAAGTACACACTGTAGGTGATAATAAGCTCTGTACCTTTCTATCATGATGCCGTGCCTATAGATGGCACGACCAAGGAAAGGGAAAGAAAGATCACTAGACTGACTCCAATGTTTCAGGATTTCTATCCATGGAGTATCTGATTATGGGCAGTGGACCTGAGGATCATGACAATACTTTATTTTGCTTAAAGTGGCCACCTGGGTGCTCACACTGGCCAGATGAAATCACTGTGGTGATAATTCAAAAGCATTCCAGGACTATAATAGTGAAACATACAACTTAAAATTCACTGGGATAGGGTGAAAATGCCATGTAACGATGAGTAAACCATTTTTCGTGCAACATCTGTAATACTGCCTCTTCTCTAAGTGTTGAGACTCCTGAGTTAGACTCCTGAGCCAAGAGAGTGTGGAGAGAAACTACCCTTACTTCATGGTGGAAGCTTTGACCCTTTTAACCTCCAGCAGCCACTGCTTGCTCCATGAATTCCCTCTTCCTCCTTGACAAGCTCCCATCAAGTCTGCTTTAACACAAAAACCCACTGTTCCTTGATCCTCTTGTGTCCCCTTAACCACTTTATGGACAATAAACATTACACACCACAGAGGACTAGCTTACAAAGTACACTGTCTCACTACATCATGTGCTTCTTATTCTTCCTCAGAACACCTTAATACATAATAATACCATGGAAATCATTCAAAAATAACAAAACAATCACTAGAAACTTCTATGAGGCATTTAAACAGTTTCCAAGATAAAATGGTGATAAATCTCTGGTTACAAAGTAGGTATGGATATAATTTCCTGGATAACGTTTGAGGAACAGCCCTATTCCTTTTCACTTTTGTGTGTGTGTGGGGGGGGGTACACACATGTGCCTGTGTACGTGTGTGTTGCAGCTCCTCTCTTTTTAGGTTAATCAACTATTTAGAATTAGTGAACAAGAGCTGAGAATGAAGAACAACTAACATTTTCAAAACAAATGATTTGAGGATGACTGTGAGCAAGGCCTAAAGAGAAGTTAAGAAAGCCCCCAAACCTGGTACAGAAGTGTTTCAGTGTTTGAAAGTGTGAGTCTTTCAAATAAACAGTTCCAATATGCATGAGAGACATAAAACAGTACGCAGGCATCCTTCCAGAACCCAAGCATGTTTGCGCTTGTCCGTACCACCCTTCCATTAACCTCCTTTGCCACTTACACGTACAACATTGCTTGTTTATTTATTTAGTTGAAACTTGACCTGTGGGTCAGCTGAGGACAAAGCAAAGGCAAACAATGGCTTCAGAGAGTAATGAGTGGCAGGATTCTATAGGTTCCTCAGGAGACTCTTGCCAGACTGCTGTTGCTAAAAGGTTGCTAGATTATAGCTCTAGGGAATTCAAGAGAACTGAAATAGATAAAACAAGCAATGTTCCACAGGCTTGGTGCCCTAGTCCATGGATTCTATGGGGATACTATAAATGCAACTCGCTAATGTTAATGTGTGTCTTCTAATTGAGGCGACATTATATGGAGAGATTACATGCATGACCTTCAAGGTTGGAAACATATAGATACAGAAGTATGATCTTGATTAGGGGGATAATACATCAATAAATTATTCGCTCAATAGGTGACTTCTAGTTCTCAGAGGTTTACCTAAATATAGTCAAATGCTTCTTTAGGCTGAATAGGGAGAATTAAAAATGCCAGAATATCAACCAGTTAAGGGGGATCTAGAAGAGCCATGATCATCAATGAATGTCCACCAAAGAAATGAAATCAGAAGGGGGGTGGAATTAAAGACTTCTATTTTATGTCTCCAGTCTTTCCACGGGTCTGCCCTATGCATACAGCCTACATTTGGAAAGCTTTAACTGGAACTAACATGTGAGCATAGAGAATTTAACACCTTTCGAATATATCTGATATAGTCAGAAATGGAAATCCACACCTTGGCGGAGTTAAGTGGTTCTCTGTGAGTTTGAGGCCATCCTGGTTTACAATAGAGAGTCCTAGACATGCCAGGGCTACCAAATAAAAGCTGTTTAAGGAAAATATACAGGGGCCATTATTTTCTTTCTCTGTCCAAAAATTCCATTTACCAACTTCTATAGAAATTTATCTCTGTGACCCAGTACCTTAAGGAAGATAAACAAAGCAGTCATTTCTGGAATAATTAATAAATATGACACAAAATTAAAAGATTTGTCCAAAAATATGTTTGCTTTTAGAACCCTCTGGAATGGGGTTTGCACATGAACTGTGCCTAGTACTAGTTCTCTGCTACCTGGTGTTGTGTGGACATTTCCGTTGTTGTAAGATATGCTGTTTTATTTGCATATCTAACAGAACACTGGAGTCATGGGCACTTCACATATGTCTTATGTCTGAGTACAGGAAAAAGAACTGCATACTCATTTAGCTGTGGTGTTACTTCTGCTTTGATGTGGTAGTCACGATTCTGTCAAAGGCTGATAATTAAGATAAAGCCACATCTTATTACTAAAGTGAATAAAATGATATATCAGCTCCAGGATTCTTCAGATGAACACAGCTGATCTATTTCTGAATAGAAATCCAGAAAATGACAAATATCAGTTGTCCTAACCTAATTCTTGGAGAAACCATGGCTATTGCTAAAATTTCTTTAGGAGAAATAAACATACAGCTGCTTTCATTGATAGATTTGTTCATGGGATAATATCAGTACTATCCCTTGGGATGGAATATTACATAGATGTTTTTTGGTCTTACTGTAAAGGAATCATATTCCACAAGTTCTTTTTTAAACAGCAGGCATCAATGACTGAGCATTATGTAATAGGGGCATCATGAAAACTATATACCATAGGGAGAAGTGGTGGCTAAAGGAGGATTAAAACACACTGACTCTTGTTTTAGGCTGTAATTGTTTGAAGGTGATAAACACAGCTGAATAATTGTACAAACCAAACAGGCCTTGCCACCACCTCTGAATTGAGCTCTTGCTTCTGGCTGTGATGTGCATTCAGGGGGAGAAAACAAATTGCTAGATTTTTCACCCGATGTGTGTTGTGGGGATAAACTCTGATTTAGCCCTGAGAATACTTAAATATACCATCTTGGTGTGCATCTACCATTTGGTCTCCATGCCCAGGGTCCTGGCATGCACAGCCTGCACATACAGGAGTGAAGTCAGTAGAGTGTGTGCTATGCAGAGGGCAGAGACTAGCTTCACAATTTCCGTACAGGATTATCTCTAAGGACATACTTGTGGTGAGGGAACCATACACATTGATTTGGCTTGCACTTCCACATCTATCCAATCACATCGTGCCAGTAAAACGTGGTGCTTGGTTCTGAGGACTCCAAAAAGAAAGTGTTTGAGTATGGGTACTCTCTCTTACCTGTTGTTTTACTACCAGAGGTGCTTAGCGCTAAACTTCAGCATGACTTTTATTTCTTGTGGCAAAGAAGCAAAAAGGTGACTTATACAACCTTTTATAGAGACAGAAAATTCAAATTCAAAAGAACAAATTGGAAAACAGGGAATGAAGGGCATAGGGAAAGAGACTTTCAATATCTTTCATTTTATTAGATGATCATTTGTCATATTAAAGATAGAAAATTAAAAAGGGCATCTTTGTTAAAACTGCTTTAAAATAAATTCAGTAGCAAAATGATAAAGATATCCTAATAGAGGAAGAGGGTGTATAAGAATCATAGAAAATTTTAAGGAAAGAACATATATTTAGGACAATATCTCAGAGCTGTGGACTGTGATGCCACACCCAATCCTTACCTCTGTAGTTCTGCAGTGAGAATAGCTACAGATTGATACCTAGATGAAGCCAGTGATGGCTTAACTGCGAGCCTTCTGTTCAGGGCACTGCTGAAGAGTCAGAGATAGGACACACACTAAGAAGATGGATGACCTACTGACTGTCAAGGCACCTGCTTTACAAATCAGGTCTGCCCTTCAAAGAGAATTGGTCAGTACCGTATCCATCAAGGATCTTGCTTCTAGCAGTTCCTAAGTCCTAAAGTGTTTGGGTGATTGTTTTTATTCCAAGGTGGTACAAGGGCAGAGTTAAAAAACGATCAGGATGACTCACCATGAACAAAATCAAGATGCCTTTTGAATCGACTATGTGTTCTGCTACCAAAAGAACCTGAAGCCTGAGGTGCATGAGATTACCTTATTTAGGCAAGCAAGGCAAGTGCATGGGCACCTTTGTGTACATGAGTACAGATTTGAAAATGAGATGTGCTTCATAGGCGAAGGGATTTCCCCAAACCCCTGATCTAGAGGGTTCCACACTGTCCCACACGATAGCCAGGCCCTTGCCTCCTAGGAAACAGCTCAGATGTCAGTGAACTTATAACATGTGTTCTAGATGGTGTACCCTGCTTCTCTGCACCTGCTTCCTTTACTGGATCTTTCTGGGTGGGTGGTTGTGGAGAAGTCTGCTCAATATTTCTCATTTTTTCCTGCACCTCTTTTCTGTATTTTAAAAAGTTTTCCTCCAACCTGAGTTAAGAGGACCTTAACATTTTTTTTTTATGGAACCATTTTAGATTTTTATTTGAATTCCATTTAGGTTTCCACAATACACACGTGTATAATTTTTCTTCAATATAGCAATTTTAGGAATAACCTATCTAACAAGTTCTAGTAAAGTGGAGAAGGCAGTTGTTACATTTCAGGAGCAGCTATTTCCTCACAACTTTCATGAAACCCCCTTCTTTCAGGCTACTGCATCCATGCCTCAAAACAGAGCAGCAAGAGAGGCCCAAGTAGTTCTCACTACTCTGCCATTCTCTATTGGAAAGAACTGGGACTCTAGGGGAAGGAAGATGAACAGTACTGGGGGATACTCATGATGCCCACACTAAACAAACACAGATGTGTCTGGTTGCTTGTAAAATGCCATCAAAACAAACAGGCCAGAAGGATCTCCTTCTGCCCCAGGCACCCCATGGGTGTTCTCATAGCCTAGGTCCTCCAAGTACAGTGTCTGTTCTCAAGGGTGCTATGAAAGTCTTCCACCTCAGGCAGACCTGTAGCCTCTCTCCCCTCAGCTCTCAAGGGAAGCATGCTCCCATGGAATCAGATTTTTTCAGTTATTTAAGTCTGAACTGGAGAAGGTTACCGGCAGCACACATGATTGTTGACTTGTCAAGGATCTCACACCCACTTCACTCATTGCTCTTTAATCAGTGTCTTGGGAAAGAATGTCCTGGATACTTTACAAATACCTGCTTCAGCAACAAAACAAAATAAAGTAAATGAAATAAAAGAATTAAAATGTCTTTAAGCCTGGCCAGATGATGTCTGCCTTAGAAGAATTTCTGTGTGGCATAATATCTCCCAAACTTCTGACCACACTCAAGGAACCTAAAAGAACAAACATTGCTTTCTCTGGGCTGGTTACTTTCCCTTGTACACTACTGTTCTACCAGCATCCCTGATAGACATTTTACTTAAACGATGATCTGATTCTGTCTTTCTATGTCACACACACACACACACACACACACACACACACACACACACATTTCTCTTCTTTCAAGCCATGATACCTACCACTATGGTATGGGGCAGGGTGCCAGGGATAATTGTGAAACACCAATGCCACAGAGCTCGTCTAACGGAAGATATCAAGACCAAGTGCCTGAGAAACTGACTTTTAAAAACTCAACTACAAACATCAAATGTACATAGGTGCACACGTGTCTCCTGTTTACAATAGTGAAGTCTGTGTCTCCAGTGGTTACTTTCACAATGATGCACATGTCAGTGAACTACAGTAGCCACAGCTACCTGACCTCCTGAGCTGGATGAAGGAGATCAATGCTTTCGGTGGATGCAGGTGTGTTCCAGAATATTAATGTTGAAAGAGAGAAAAGAAATGCCTAAATTAAAAGATAGGAAAGAGAAGAGAAAAGGAGAGGGAAAACCCTACAAAATAAAAGAGGAGCAGGTAACCCTGTGTCATTTCAGATGAAGTATTCCCGTTTGCACTCGCTGGCTGTGTTTTGCAAGTCAATGTCATTTCTAAAGGAATTGTCCAAAGTCTCTGGGTATTCCTTCTCCTTCATCTGATTGGTACGGTGTGACTGCTTATGCTGATATAGAAAGCGGGTCATGATGCCGATGACACAAAAGGTGATAAATGTCACCACTGCTATGACACCTGCAAAGAAAAGAAGGGGAAAGAGAAAAAAGGTGTCACTGAGGAAATCCAGGCTAGACAAGCACATACATTGGAGGGAAAAATCATAAACAAATAAAATACACAAACAAAAATCTACTCTTTATCCAGAGATAAAGACCTGCTCAGAATCCCTTGACCTTCAGTTTGAACAAATGTTTCTACAAGTAGAGTAATGAGGGAGAAAGGCTGTTTCTCCTAGAAGGTTGTGTTTATGACCTAATAATGCACATGGAGTTGGAACAGCAAAGGATTTGTGTGGTTTCTGTGTTGTTTTATTTTTGTTAATAGGGATCAAACTCCGATTTCAGAGATTTTAAGTACACCAAAATTTTCCAAGAATTACTTGGACTAACTACCACTCCCCACCTCTGTCTGTGAGAATGTAAGGGTGTGAGACGATGTATCTGTCTGTGCACCTGTGCGTCTGTGTGTCTGTGTGAGTAGGTGTGTGCAGGTGCTTGGCCGCCATAGCACTTGTGCGGGTATCAAGGAGCAACTTGAGAGTCTGTTCTTGCCTTCCACTTTTTTTTAATGTAAGATTTCTCTTGCTCTCTCTGACATTTCTCAGTCCCGGGTTACATGGTGGGCCCTTATTTCAAAAGCAACAAACAGCATGCATGTAAAATTAATAATTAATAGAAGCAAAATACTTAGGTTTTGGTCATCAAAAATAATTTAATTTCTGACTAAGTATACACATTTGCATGTTTCATATCTTCTAATTATTTGTTGGTCATCGTTCATTACTGTTTATCTGACTAGATACCAAAAACTTAAATATATACACCCATCTTCCACCAAATTTTTAAAATTTGTGACGATAACTAAGATCATTTACATTTGCTCATTGGGTAACATGTTTTACAACTATTTTAGAAAAAGGCAAAGTAAAATACCAAAGATGATAGTCTAATCTGGGTGGCAATGAATGAATCTGAAGCATGAACTGCAGTTTTATAATCTGGCTGAGGTTGCTTCTTTTCTACTCCTGGGTTGAAGGGGTTATTGCAGGCTGGAAGCTGGGCAAGCTTCCCAGGATCTCCTGTGGAGCTGTGATAATCTTCTCATTCATAGAGACTCAACGGGGCTTGCCAATGAGTGGGGGAAAACCAGAACCCATGATTTTTCCTCATCAAATGAAAACTTACAGGAATAGAGAGAGTTATAAAATTTTCCGTGACATTTACTGATTTCAAAGAAAAATCAAGTTCAACTCTCTTCCCTGGAGAAGGCATTCAGCTCATATTTTAAGTACTTCCCTAAGGAAAGTCCTTAATTGTCCCCCTGCTCTGGGATGCTACTCTGGGGGGTTCTTCTGGTCGCATTCATCTTTGGAACCAGCTTCTATGCTGTTATTGCTGTCTGATTGCCTACCTCTTTCCTAGCCAGTCTGCTCATTCTAGGAAGACAGTAATTGTATCTCCCATCCTGCATCTCTATGTTTAGTACAGGTCTGACCCAGAACTGGAGCTAATTAAATAGAAGTGAAATGAATGACTCCTGCAGACTTTTAAAGAACTCCATCTGGTGTGGAGTCATTCATCCCAGCTGCCAGAAGGCAGGGTTGAGGCACCTGCTATGGTTATAAGTCACCAATGGAAATGGATTTCCATATCTCAGGCATCTTACATTAAGCAAAACTTGGGAGACATTCTGTGTTGCAAAATCCAGATGGGAGCATCAAACTCCTGTAGGCATTAGAGGGGCTGTGACAGAATAAAGAGTAGGGTAGGATGAGACCAGCACACAGTTTAACAACTATAAAGCACGGGAAGGTGGTAGGAGAAGCTATAAGCAGAGCAAGCAAACTCTACGTCCATAGCCAGATGGACTGCAGGATTTGGAACTTCAGTCATATGGGCTTCACCCTACTCATTAGATCCAACCCAAATCACTCTGTAAAGGAAAACCGAAAACAAAGACTGCTCTGTTCATCTGTCTGCCCCAATGAGACTTCTTTCCATATGTAATTTTATTGGTCTATTTTGGTTGTGCTTTAGAAATGACAACGGGATGCAATGAACAAATGCAGACTGCCTATCTGTAAGTAAATGCCCCAGCTGTTGGCTCAAAGTTCAACTGCCTGCTGACTTTGAGGCAGAATGAAGCCACAGAGCCACAGAGCTGCTGGCCCTGGAGGAGAGTCTGCTATTAATCTTGAACCATGAAAGAAAAGGCTAAGGGATGGAAGACAATGCCTGATTTGGTGTGCTAAATGATCATGAGTAAGGAAGGCTTCAGATAATTTTCTGCAGACCACAGAACCAGATATATTTTTCCTGCTCTTATTGATGAAGACAGGTTACCTCCAATGACTGCTGAGTCACTTCGGACGGCATTTGTGAGTGGTTCACGCTCATCTGTCTTTCCAAAGGGATCTAGATGGAAGAAAAGACCAAAGCTTAAACTTTACTCTTCCCTCAACCACAGGGAGAACATAGTCAGTGGACAACTGTACAGTGTAACAAGATTCCTATAGTGAGATATGAACTGGCGTTTTGAAGGAAACTGAAATAAATATCATTTAAAATGATTAGCTGAGCCGGGCGGTGGTGGCGCACGCCTTTAATCCCAGCACTTGGGAGGCAGAGGCAGGCGGATCTCTGTGAGTTCGAGACCAGCCTGGTCTACAAGAGCTAGTTCCAGGACAGGCTTCAAAACCACAGAGAAACCCTGTCTCAAAAAAAACAAAAAAAAAATGATTAGCTGAGTTCAATCCCAGAGGCCACATTAAAAGCTGTATTTTGGGGATCCAGTCTGTAATCCCAGTGAGGGAGCAGCTGGTCCCATGTGCAGATCAGGTATAGATACAAGGAAACCTGTGCCTCTGAAACAAGGTGAAAGAGAATCCCAACTCCCCAAACCATGCCCTCTCACCTCCACATGCTTCATGACATGTATACACACACTAAATATAAAAGATGAATAAAATATACTGCTTACAACCCATATTTCATGCCATCATTAGCTTCTAATTAAGATTTGAGAGAGCCTTGGGCCAGTGAGGTTGGTGCCCGGCCTGTGCACCTTCTGTCATCAACTCAACCTCCTTCACTTTGCTGGAGAATTCCTAGGAATGACAGCTGTCTTTTAATTCAAACACTCATTCCCTTATGCCCCAGTGGACTCCTTAACTGTGTGAGGTCCTCAGTCAACTGACAAGGAAGACCAGAGCAGTGGAAGAATTAGCATCTCAGAGCAGCCCTCAGCAGAAGAGCAACTGTCCAGGCTATACTCTTAACCTCTGAGCCATTGCTGTCACCCAATTTATTTTTCTTGACTTTCAGTTGCTATGTAGTAGAAGGTGACCATGAACTTGCCATGTAATAGAGGATGGGAGATGAGGAGAAGAAAAAAAAAGAAAGATACGAAGAGATATGAAGACATGAAGTTAGGGAGGCAGGGAGAGACAAAGGAAGGGATGAAGGGAGGAAAAGAAGAGAGAAAGAGATAGCTAGGGACAGAAGAAGAGAATGAGGAAGAGAATAGGTGAAGGACCCTCACAGTCCTGGGCCTGGTAACATGGCTCTGTCGGGCTTTGCCCTTCCCCCTTCACTCTTGTTATGTACCACAGATTGTATCCCTAAAGCTACCCACCAAGGTCTAATACTTTATTTAGACATTTTCTAATGCCAGACTCATTCCTGAGAATGACTACCAAAGTTCAGAAATTGAAAGCCCCCTTTGTTTGAGCTAATAATATAGCCAGTAAAAATATACCACTGCATCATAACCCGTTCTAACACGGACCTCCCCATTTTCTCTCTTAAAAGTTACACCAACAAGATCATTTACTTCCGTTTTTCTGCCTGAGTCAGAAAGCCACCACTTTTTCTTCACCACTTAATGAAAGGGAAAGCAAGTGTTTAGATGTTGTTTGTGCCTAATCCAAGGTCTTGGAGAGAGGAAAGAGTCCCTAGATTTGCAGGTCTCTCTTCCACAGGGAAGGAGATAGAGAGAGGTAGAGATAAGGAGCTAGAAAAATGTAAGAAGGGAGTCTGCATTATAGGGAGTAAATATTAGATGGGACAATGGGAGGGAAGAACTATGATGAGGGGGATAGTGGTGGGACTGACAGAATGGTAGGGAGAAAGGTAGGAAGGCAGAGAGAAGCAGGAAGGTATGGATAGAGAGGGCTGAGGAGGGAGAGAGGAAAGGAGAGTGAATGAGAAATATTTAGCTATTCTACCTCCTATGTCCTTACAACCTCCAAACTCTGACATATTTCTATGTCAAGCTTCCTTCCTGGAATTCATCCTGGTTCTCCATGAATGCTCAAATTTTAACGCTGTACAGTTAAGATTTTTCCTTTTTCTGCTCAGATCCTACTGGTTCCAACATTATTTAGTACATGCACTGCTTTTAACGTTATAAATAACAGAGTTATTTATAACTATGTTAACCAAGATTTCTCCATTTCTAACATGTTTTGATGTTGATAGGTTAATATATATTAATTTACTTCATTAATTCTAATTCTCTAGTGTTTACTAATGCTACAGAGAAAACATCTCAGATTGGCTAAGATAATATTTTCAGTAGTATGTTTGGTAATCAGGTTCTGCAAAGTAACCCTTATCTCAGTGATGACTCATTTCAGGAGTGCCTTCTTTTCATAACTGATCAACATTAAATATTATATTTTAAAATCAATCTTAGCTTTAATTCTCCCTCCTTGAAAAAGAAATGCCTTAGCCTAAATGCAGAAATGCATCCATGCATGTGTTTCCATCCATCCTTAACCTGCCATCTACCATCTATCTACCTGCCATTTATATGTCCATTTCTTGATCTCTAACATTTGTCTGTCAATAATTTAATGCTATATGATATATATTTGCTTATCTACACTGTTTAAGGACTCCCATTTTTAAGTATAATTCTAGACATTGTGTGATGAGTAAGCAAAGGTGAGTTTTCACCCAGTACTAGGTCTCACCAGAAATATGTAACAATACTTAAGACATTTTCTCTGAGAATGGTCTTCTGCCATTTGAGAATGTCAAAGAACAATTTGAATCAGGACAGTGTTGCTCCTTTTTCTATATATAATATCAGTCTATAGCTGAATACTGATATATCAGAGTTTTTCAGAAAACTAATAATTTAACACCTTTCTCTGTAGACCTTGCTGGTCAGGGTGTAGATATGATTGTCAGGTGTGAAACACTTTTCTGGGAGTGATCCATTCTCCCTTCAAGAGGGTTCTTTATGACTCGGAATGTTCTAAAGGGAAGTTCCTTAAGGCTCAGAGAATAAACAACTCAGTAACTCCACTAACTGAGCAGATGTTTTAGTGCCCTCCTTCCCCAAGCTTATATAAGTAGAAAGGATGGATAAGAGATACTCTCATATAAGTCAAGCTTCCTTGAAGGTTCTCAGACCATCAGAGCTTCCTGAAAAGGACAGATATTAGCAAGACTGCCTGCAAGAGATACTCTCTGAGCTGTTGAGCTGCCCATAAATCTTGCAGTGAGCTTCAGAGTTTCAGTCACATAAGCCATCGCCTATGCCAGGGTAGGCTTTGAAGCTTTCTTGAGTCATTTCTATTGCAATGAGTGACCCATCATCCACAATCCTGAAAATGACCCCAGGGAAACTCACTGGTTCTTCATATTGGAATTTGGAGGTATCCTAACTCTTGTCTATCACCAGTTCTCTAAATTGAGTAAATATTTTTTTTTTTACATCTCCTCAGGAATATTGTCACACAGTGATAGGCTAATTAGTTCCTAGAGACAATAAATGTTTTACACACAAGCATGCCTTACACACACACAAATCAATCAGTCCACAGCCTACCCCCCCCACCACAACCACTCTGTTATCTAACTTATACTTCCCAAGCCAATGTGCCTTCTCCATCAAACACCATAGAGATAATTATGGGACTGCTAGCAGTAGTCTCCATAACACAGGTTTGGTCAAAGTTACTCAACAGATTCAGCCCTACGGGGCTCAGTCTTGCCAGCCCTGCCTCACTTCCTTCTAGTAGAGGACACAATCAAGTCCCTAATTCCTGTTTTCCCCCAATTCTTTGTGAGTGTGTGTGTGTGGGGGTGGGGGGCTGTTCGACACAGGGTTTCCCTGTGTAGCCTTGGAGCCTGTCCTGTAACTCACTCTGTATACCAGGCTGGCCGTGAATTCACAGAGATCCACCTACCTCTGCCTTCAGAATTCTGGGATTAAAGGCGTGTGCCACTACTGTCTGGCCCCCATTTTTTTTGTTGTTGTTGTTGCTGCTGACTAGTCCCTATACTTCTTTATGTAGATCAGATAAATAGATAGACACTCAGATAGATTGATCAATTGATAGATTATAGATGGATATGTGATAGAAAGATGATACATGTGTGTTAATAAGTGTACACACACACTTTCCTTTTTCTGAGGAATATCAGTAATGGATCTTCTTTCTTTTTTCCCTTTTTTCATTGATCTTATTGAGTTATACATTTTTCTCTGCTCCCCTCCCTGCCTCTCCCCTCCCTTTCTACCCTCTCACATGGTCCCGATGCTCCCAGTTTACTTAGGAGATATTGTCTTTTATTATTTCCCATGTAGATTAGATACATCTATATCTCTCTTTGGGTCCTCGTTGTTGTCTCGGTTTTCTGGGATTGTGATTTGTAGGCTAGTTTTCTTTGCTTTATGTTTAAAAACCACTTATGAGTAGGTACATATGATAATTGTCTTTCTGGGTCTGGGTTAACTCATTCAATATGATGTTCTCTAGATCCATCAATTTGCCTGCAAATTTCAAGAAGCCATTATTTTTTTCTGTTATGTAGTACTCCATTGTGTACATGCACTACATTTTCCTTATCCATTCTTTGGTTGAGTGACATTTAGGTTGTATCCAGCATCTGGCTATGACAAACAATGCTGCTATGAACATAGCGTGTGTCCTTGTGGTATGCTCGAGCATCCTTTCGGTATATACCAAAAACTGCCATTGCTGGGTCTTGAGCAAGGTTGTTTCCTAATTTTTCTGAGAAATTGCCATACTGGTATCCAAAGGGGCTGTACCAGCTGCTGGTGAATCTTCTTTCTAACATCCACCCTTTGCCTTTTGACCACAGCTCTCCTGAGAGTGATAAAAAAGCATTTTATTGCCAAGGCTTTGCCACCCCCAATGATTGAAGTGTTAGTGCTTTTCATAGGGTCATACTTTTCATGTGTCAATTTTCTATTGGTGATTTTTATGTCACTTTGGCATAATGTATATGTGAATGCTTTGCCTAATTTTAATAAGGTTTATTTATTCATTGGCTTTTGAATTAAATCAATTAATATGTCTTGAAAATTGAATACCAAGAGATATCGAATCCACAAGTCTTTGATCACAGCCAACGCATTTTACTAATCATTTCATTTTCTGTGGAGAACCAGTTCTAGCTGGATGCCATTTTACTCACTCATTTATTTTTGCTTTTGCTATATGCATTTTAGTCATATCAATACAATATCATTTTCAAGAGTAATATCAAAGATATTTTTCTATAGGTATTTCTGAAAGTTTGAATGTTTCAAACCTTATAAACCATTAATGAGTCCCATGTCAAGTATTTTTTATAGATTAAGACAAAGTTTCAATTATATGATTTTCTTTTAGTTAGCTAAACCCAAGGCACTTATGAAGCAAGTGCTTTTTCCCAGTACATGCCAAACATGAACTGACCACATATGCCCATGTTTAGTTCTTCGTTCTCTAATCTACTGTTTTTATCTTTATATATGTATCTACGGCAGTATTATATAATTGATTATTATGCTTTTCCAATATAATGCAAAATCGGGGAGTGATGCCTACAGATTTCTATAATCTATGATCATTTTAGTATTGTTCACAATAGTCAAAATGTGGAAGTAGCTTAAGTATCAATAGATGAGTATAAAAAGAATTTGTACATCAACACTCATAGCCATACATTCATAGATATATAAACACACATACACATACATTACATGCACACACAAATATACACTAGAATTTTGCTCAGTCACAATAGTTGATTTCTCCATTAAAAAAGAATGTGGATGGAAACAATATCAGATCAGTGAAAATCATCCATAATAAAGAAAAGGAATGTAAATTTCACTAATACTCAGAATCTAAAAAAAGAAAAACAAAATTGGTTGTAGAACATAATGATACTTGACAGTAGCTTGGGCATCATTGGTTAAAGAATACCAATTTTATCATGAATAAGCAAAATCATAAAATGTACAAATATGCTTTTATGATCAAGTGTTCTCATCAGACACATAAACACATACAGTGTAACTATGTAAAATGATGTATGTACAGAATATGCATTTGTATATTTATTTATATATGTATGCATTTGTTTATACGTGTGAATGATACACATGTATAGGCAGGTATGTTATCCAATGAGGGCCAATGCAGAGGCAAGAGATTTATTTCCGATGTTTTCTTCAGTTATTTTTTATTGGCACTTTCTGAGGCTACATCTTTGACTGACTCTGGAGGTAACTAATTCAGAGAGGTTGACTGGTCAGGAAGCCCCAAATATCTCTTGTTTTTGCTCCAGCACTGGGGTCCAAGGGCTCACTGCTATACTCAGCTTCTTATCTGGCTGCTGGGGATTTAACTTAGCGCTCATGATTGTACAGCAAGCATTTTAGCATTTGAGCCTTCTTCTTAGCGCCTTCCTGCTAATTTAATAAAGGAATCATCAGATAATACATACAAACTATCATATTTTACACTTTTTGTGTCTATAATTTTATTACTTCTTCCTTAAAAAGAACTAGAGAACAATACTATAGTTACTATTATCCAAGTCCCCATTATGATGCCTTCACAACCCTTAAATATTTAGTTCTCATATCACTTTCCACTAAAACAATAGTGATGCAATAATGCACATGCATATTATGAATATGTGTATTATATGTACTACAAGACGCTACACATTAATTAAAACTGCTCATTGCCTTAAACTAGAATTATGTTAAATATGTGTAGGTAATTTTAATTGTTAATTTGTTAACTATTAATTTTCAATAGGCTAAATGCACAATATCTATTTATTGCTAAATTTCATACTTAAAGTATATTACTAAATATATTACCAATTAGATTAATTAGTATTCTAATATTCACACCATTTTTTGTTTATTTCTATCCACTACTGTTTTTGTTAAAAGTCAATTTAATAGAATCTAGAATCACCTGAGAGACAGGCTGCTGGGTATGTTTGCGGGATTATATTGATTTCTTAACTGAGGTGAGAAGAGCTAACCACTGTGCTTGGCACCACTCCCTGGATGGGATCCTCAACTGTATAGATGGAGAATGATCAGAATACTAGCATGTTTATAACATGCTCTGCTTCCAGATTATATGTGTGACATGACCAGCTACTTAAAGCTCCTGTTGTCTTGATTCTTTGTTATGAAGAACTGGATGCTTGTACTGTGAAGCAGAATAAACCTTTTCTCCATTAGCTTGTTTCCATCAGAGTATATTGTAAATACAGATATGACCTGTGAGAAGCCAGTTACAATTTGTAACCACCTATAATCATGAAAGGTAATGAGCTGAGTGCTGTTGACCAGCTGTTTAACTCTATAAGACAGCAGAAGAGTGATGGAAACTCAAGAAAGCAACCTCTCGGAAGTACCTGATGAAGAATGCACAGTGGTCACTGCATTCATATCAGAGTCCACCATGAAGCCACAGTTGGATTCTGTCAAGGTCCCTTGGACAGTCACAGGTGCAATGTTGGCATGACGAAGGGCTGCCTTCAAAGGTGCTATGTGGTTGTATTGGACTGAAGAAAGGCATCCAACAAAACCCAACGTGTTTGCTCGAGCAACTTCCGGATCCAAGCCAAGTGTCTCTGCAATAAAGAGAACCACAGATCTTAGTTTTTCAAATAATCCGTGTTTTCCTTGACCATTAGCTAAAATGACTGAAAATTCTTTGTTACTCTCTAAATAGAGCTATGCATACCCCTCTTCCTCGTCTCAGCAGCACATTCACTGCAGGCACTAATTGAAATGACTGAAACTTTCTTATTATTCTCTGAATAAGGAAACTATACACACCTCTCTTCCTTGTTTCAACTGCATATTTACTGCAAGCATTAACTGAAATGGCTGAAACTTTCTTGCTATTCTCTGAATAAGGAAGCTATACATACCCCTCTTCCTCGTCTCAACTGCACATTTACTGCAGGCATTAGCACACGACTCAACTATCTCATAGAAAAGAGCTACGACTATCTCTGCTTTGATACAAAATTGTTTAAAGTTTCTAATTTTTAATTCATGTATGTTTTGAACTGTGAAAAAGGGTAATGCAGCTTTATTATACTCTAATAAAACACTAGATAGCTGAAAGAATTTGTATCTCAGTCCTCATCACTATTTATCTATGGATGCAGGTGATTAACGCAAGCAAATCATAATGCTTATTACAACATTTGATTCACAATTGTAACACAGGAAAATGATAAGAAGGGAACAAAGGGTTTAGAAATAAAAGTGTGTCTCCTAGAGGTGTATCATGCTTGTCTCAAGGAAGCTGAATAGACTGAGAAAAGGTACATCTCTACCTGCATCAGTTCCTTTCATCATACTGATTGGACACTAATTGGGGAGATGGCTTTTGCCTATGAACATATTCAAATTCCCAGGGCATTTTTAGTCTTTCTGAAAGATGAAGATGCAATCACTTGGGATTCACAGCAAGATCAAATGTCTCATTTTCTTCAAGACATCTCATTCCTTTTCTTAAAAGGGGTCATTTGAACAAATTGCTATGGTGCAATTACATAAAACTGCAAATCATAATGAACAGTATTTTTCTTAAGGTATAATACTTTCAACACAACTAGATGGCTCAACTGGTTATTTCATTATGATAAGCCTTTCAGTTTCAGGAAGAAGGGCAGGGATTTTCTTATCTACCAGCATACATTATAATTTTATTTTGATTCATAAATGGTCAAATGGTGTCTTCTTTGAACTCTAAGAATGCATTATGCTGACAGCATTAAGAAAATATGTCAGGAAAGTGTGGTAGAAAATGAGACGGTTAATAGTTCTTAGTAATTCTTGCTCTCCTATATCACCCCTAATTATTTTCTTTAAAATATTTATTATTCTTAGATATTTCTTTCTCTTTGTGTGTGTGTGTGTGTGTGTGTGTGTGTGTGCTTCTGCATTTGCACACACCATGTGTTTTTGTGTGAGTGCTTCTAGAGGACAAAATAGAGTATCAGATTCCCTAAAACAAGGATACCTTTGTGAGTGCTGGGAACCAAACTAGCTTCCTCTGGAAGAGCAGCAAGTGATCTTAACCATTGAGCCATCTCTTCGGCACCATTAATTTTTGTTCTCATCTTACTTTTTCACTTCAATGGGAAAAAATAGCTTGTCACTTGTCTTTTCTTACATACAAAACCAGGAATGACACTTTACTTCATGTGACTAGTATAACAAACTACTACAAATTTAAATAAATTGATTAAAACACAAATTCCTTATCTTTCAACTCTCTAAACTGGAGGCCTGACAGTGCTCACTGGGCTTAAAATCAAGGTATCTGTATGGCCAGATTTCTTCTGGATCTTTTGGGGAATATGACATTCCTCTCCCATGACCAGCTTCTATAGCCTTGATTCATACCTAGCTTCCTTTGACTTTCTTCATGATAAGCAATATTGTTGCATTTCTCTGAGTCTTTTTATCATACTCATTTTAAATTATGATTCTCTTCTTTACCACTTTTTTTCACTCTTAAATACCATTGTAGCTATAATGGTTTCATCCAAATAATCTAAAAGAGTCTGGATCGAGGAGATGGCTCAGCCATTAAAGTGGTTGTCGAGTTCGATATGTAGAACACACAGTAGTTAGTCATTTATTGGTAGTTAGTGGAGGGTGGAGTTATTCACTGAGCGGTAGTGCATGAAGGGCAGAATTATATCTCAGGAATAATAGAGAAGCAAAAGACTAGAGAAGGGAAGTATAACCTGGAATGTCATTTTAGTATTGAAGGATTTCAAAGTAGTAGAAAGTGAAGTTTCACTGAACTATGCCTTCAGGGTCTAAGTCAGGTGTGCCTCTTCTCACGCTGTGAGCTCACTGGAAGGAAGCTTTTACTGATCCAAAGAGAATATCACCGTACAGGTTGTCACAAATCAAAGTTTTTGCAACAAAAATAGACATATAGAGAAATTGTGTGAAATGCTAGGAAGTGACATTCTTTCTTTAAGGAAAGGTTGTGTGGAACAAAACCTTATCTCTAGAAGTGTTTATTCTAGACACATTAAGACTGTAAATAATGAGAGGTTTCAGAAAAGGAATAAAAGAAACTTCTATATAAAGTCAGAGGTTTTTTAATAGGTTTCAATTGGTTCAAAATACTGTACAATGTTCCCAAGTTCCATCTGAAAATACCACAATAGGAAAAGGGAACCAAGGATGTGTGTTTCACATGTCTGTACACACATACCAAAAATAGGAAACTAAAATTTTATAAAATATAATAAAAAAAACACACTCAGTTTGATGGATGAGGGAACTATTTATTTGATTTTTACAAAAATAGAATGGTTTTCAAAAACCATAAAGGACAATTTAAAATATTTTTACATGTCACTGTATTATAAACTTGTAATAGCAATTAATAATTTTCTTCCTACAAATAAGTGAAGGAAGGAATAAGAAGGGAAATAAGGATGGAAATCTTCAATATTTATTACTCATTGAGTAGCCATAACAACACAACATTTATTTACTTTTAAAAGATATTATTTTCATTTTTAATTCTGTATATATGTGTTTGTACATGCTCACAGATGCACTGTATATAGAAGCCAGAAGAGGGCATCAGTTCTCAAAGAGTTTAGTGAAATAATTTTACATAAAATACATAAAAGAGATCACAAAACTAAGAGAAACTCAATACTTTGGTCAAATATTACACACTTTACTGAATTCTGTATTAAATATATTATACATTTTATAAACTCTTTATTTCAGTGCTTAGGTTACCATTGAACTAGATAAAGAAATAGGTAGGTGAGGTGTCCCAAGCCAGATAAGCAAAACCAAAGGCAAGTTTCACTGACAAGAATGCAGTGCTACGCACTGTTCCCGAGATTTCTTAATATATGTGAATTCTAGTCAAAATAGAAAACCATGAAGTTTCTTTTCATAAAACATGTTATCACTTTGTAGAAACATGAGAATTTATGAAGAATAAAAACTAATTTCTAACTGCCTTACTAGGAACAGCTTGAGGTTGTCTCTCTAAACACACTTGAAGATACTAACAAATATCAGTGTCTCATTCCCTTCAGATTTCTCCCCTGCCCCGAAGTGCTAACAGGGAAGTGGCATGGAACACTGACATAGTGCAGGCAGACCTGTGTGGACGTGAGCTGATGAAATTTGCTACAATACAGAAGACCTCCGTCTTTATTTCTAAGCTTTGGTTTTGCCCACCGTTAACCAACAGTCATTATGTCTGCCACAAAAAGAGTGGGAAAATAAAACAGTATCTATAAATCTTAGCTAAGTGTTCAGAATGTGTTTTGATGACTATTATTTTTGCTTACATGTTCTAATATACATTTATGTTGCCCACCTTCAATTTGATCTGGAAAGTAGCTCTGTAATTATGCGTGCCTATTACACATGCTTGAGAACTTGTGTTTGAAGTCCCATAGCTTACAGAAACGAGCTAGGTTTCATAGACTTTGCCTCTATCACCTGAATTTTGGGGTTTACGTGGGCAGATTCTGGGAACCCCCTGTCCCAGTCAGGGTAGTGTAATTAACCACCTTTCATTTCAGTGAGAGACTGTCTCAAGGGGATGAGCTGGAAAGATGTAATGGATAGTACTTGATATCCTTCTCTAGCCTCCGCCTGTTCAAGTATACATACACACACACACACTATACATGTATGTGTATGTGTGTATATATGTACGGTGTGTGGGGTGAGTTATACTCACAATTCACCCTCTGTCTTTGTCTGGGGGTAAAATCTCTTAAAATATAATCTTTCAATTCTTTCAAATGAATAGCACGTTCTTTTCATGGGTCTGTTCATTCATTTGTTTGCTTGAGACAGGGTCTCAGCAGACAGTTCAGATTATCTTGAAACAGAGTTCTCCTGACAAACTCTCCCAGGTTATGGGATGACAGGCCTTTGCTAACTCACCTGGCTTACAACATATTTTCATTAACTGAATTCTTGAGCTTGGTACGCATTACTGAAATTTTGAGTTTTGATTAACATTTCTCCATATTAAATATATACTGTTATTTGTGCACTGTCAGACATGTTGTCTCTTTATTGCTTCTTTATTTGTCAGTTTCAGACTTCTTTGCCTAATTTTGATGTCCCTTCAGTATATTGAAGAAATAAAATGCCCACGAATTAAAATGCAGGTGTTGCTCTACTTATTAGAAAATTTGAATAAATGTTATTAAAGCATTGAATAGCTCAGTTGATAATTTACTAAAAACTTTTTCCATAATTCTAAATATTTTATTATTATTTTTATGTGTATGCTGAATATATACCAAACACGGGTGATGGTAAATGAACTGGGGGTACCCTGGAAGAGCAGAAATTTCTCCTAAGTACTGAGGCCCCCCCTCCAGGCGCTTCTTTAGACATTTTTTTTATTTAAATTTATTTATTTATTAAGGATTTCTGCCTCGTCCCCACAACCGCTTCCCATTTCCCTCCCCCTCCCCCGATCAAGTCCCCCTCCCTCATCTGCTCGAAGAGCAATCAGGGTTCCCTGACCTGTGGGAAGCCCAAGGACTGCCCATCTCTATCCAGGTCTCATAAGGTGAGCATCCAAACTGCCTAGGCT